TAATCATGTTACAACCATAGTCATCTCAATAATCATGTTACAACCATAGTCATCTCAATAATCATGTTACAGCCATAGTCATCTCAAGAATCATGTTACAGCCATAGTCATCTCAATAATCATGTTACAGCCATAGTCATCTCAATAATCATGTTACAACCATAGTCATCTCAATAATCATGTTACAACCATAGTCATCTCAATAATCATGTTACAGCCATAGTCATCTCAATAATCATGTTACAACCATAGTCATCTCAATAATCATGTTACAGCCATAGTCATCTCAATAATCATGTTACAACCATAGTCATCTCAATAATCATGTTACAACCATAGTCATCTCAATAATCATGTTACAGCCATAGTCATCTCAATAATCATGTTACAGCCATAGTCATCTCAATAATCATGTTACAACCATAGTCATCTCAATAATCATGTTACAACCATAGTCATCTCAATAATCATGTTACAACCATAGTCATCTCAATAATCATGTTACAGCCATAGTCATCTCAATAATCATGTTACAGCCATAGTCATCTCAATAATCATGTTACAACCATAGTCATCTCAATAATCATGTTACAGCCATAGTCATCTCAATAATCATGTTACAACCATAGTCATCTCAATAATCATGTTACAACCATAGTCATCTCAATAATCATGTTACAACCATAGTCATCTCAATAATCATGTTACAGCCATAGTCATCTCAATAATCATGTTACAGCCATAGTCATCTCAATAATCATGTTACAACCATAGTCATCTCAATAATCATGTTACAACCATAGTCATCTCAATAATCATGTTACAACCATAGTCATCTCAATAATCATGTTACAGCCATAGTCATCTCAATAATCATGTTACAACCATAGTCATCTCAATAATCATGTTACAACCATAGTCATCTCAATAATCATGTTACAACCATAGTCATCTCAATAATCATGTTACAACCATAGTCATCTCAATAATCATGTTACAACCATAGTCATCTCAATAATCATGTTACAGCCATAGTCATCTCAATAATCATGTTACAGCCATGGTCATCTCAATAATCATGTTACAGCCATGGTCATCTCAATAATCATGTTACAACCATAGTCATCTCAATAATCATGTTACAACCATAGTCATCTCAATAATCATGTTACAGCCATAGTCATCTCAATAATCATGTTACAGCCATAGTCATCTCAATAATCATGCTACAACCATAGTTATCTCAATAATCATGTTACAGCCATAGTCATCTCAATAATCATGTTACAACCATAGTCATCTCAATAATCATGTTACAGCCATAGTCATCTCAATAATCATGTTACAACCATAGTCATCTCAATAATCATGTTACAACCATAGTCATCTCAATAATCATGTTACAGCCATAGTCATCTCAATAATCATGTTACAACCATAGTCATCTCAATAATCATGTTACAGCCATAGTCATCTCAATAATCATGTTACAACCATAGTCATCTCAATAATCATGTTACAACCATAGTCATCTCAATAATCATGTTACAACCATAGTCATCTCAATAATCATGTTACAGCCATAGTCATCTCAATAATCATGTTACAGCCATAGTCATCTCAATAATCATGTTACAGCCATAGTCATCTCAATAATCATGCTACAACCATAGTTATCTCAATAATCATGTTACAGCCATAGTCATCTCAATAATCATGTTACAACCATAGTCATCTCAATAATCATGTTACAGCCATAGTCATCTCAATAATCATGTTACAACCATAGTCATCTCAATAATCATGTTACAACCATAGTCATCTCAATAATCATGTTACGGCCATAGTCATCTCAATAATCATGTTACAACCATAGTCATCTCAATAATCATGTTACAGCCATAGTCATCTCAATAATCATGTTACAACCATAGTCATCTCAATAATCATGTTACAACCATAGTCATCTCAATAATCATGTTACAACCATAGTCATCTCAATAATCATGTTACAGCCATAGTCATCTCAATAATCATGTTACAACCATAGTCATCTCAATAATCATGTTACAACCATAGTCATCTCAATAATCATGTTACATCCATAGTCATCTCAATAATCATGTTACAGCCATAGTCATCTCAATAATCATGTTACAACCATAGTCATCTCAATAATCATGTTACAACCATAGTCATCTCAATAATCATGTTACAGCCATAGTCATCTCAAGAATCATGTTACAGCCATAGTCATCTCAATAATCATGTTACAGCCATAGTCATCTCAATAATCATGTTACAACCATAGTCATCTCAATAATCATGTTACAACCATAGTCATCTCAATAATCATGTTACAGCCATAGTCATCTCAATAATCATGTTACAACCATAGTCATCTCAATAATCATGTTACAGCCATAGTCATCTCAATAATCATGTTACAACCATAGTCATCTCAATAATCATGTTACAACCATAGTCATCTCAATAATCATGTTACAGCCATAGTCATCTCAATAATCATGTTACAGCCATAGTCATCTCAATAATCATGTTACAACCATAGTCATCTCAATAATCATGTTACAACCATAGTCATCTCAATAATCATGTTACAACCATAGTCATCTCAATAATCATGTTACAGCCATAGTCATCTCAATAATCATGTTACAGCCATAGTCATCTCAATAATCATGTTACAACCATAGTCATCTCAATAATCATGTTACAGCCATAGTCATCTCAATAATCATGTTACAACCATAGTCATCTCAATAATCATGTTACAACCATAGTCATCTCAATAATCATGTTACAACCATAGTCATCTCAATAATCATGTTACAGCCATAGTCATCTCAATAATCATGTTACAGCCATGGTCATCTCAATAATCATGTTACAGCCATGGTCATCTCAATAATCATGTTACAACCATAGTCATCTCAATAATCATGTTACAGCCATATTCATCTCAATAATCATGTTACAGCCATAGTCATCTCAATAATCATGTTACAACCATAGTCATCTCAATAATCATGTTACAGCCATAGTCATCTCAATAATCATGTGACAGCCATAGTCATCTCAATAATCATGTTACAGCCATAGTCATCTCAATAATCATGTTACAACCATAGTCATCTCAATAATCATGTTACAACCATAGTCATCTCAATACTCATGTTACAACCATAGTCATCTCAATACTCATGTTACAACCATAGTCATCTCAATAATCATGTTACAGCCATAGTCATCTCAATAATCATGTTACAACCATAGTCATCTCAATACTCATGTTACAACCATAGTCATCTCAATAATCATGTTACAGCCATAGTCATCTCAATAATCATGTTTAGTTAAAAACTATAATTTAATTTTGTATTCAGATAAAATATTATTTCTGGCTAAATTTTGTATTCAGATAAAATATCATTTCTGGCTAAATTTTGTATTCAGATAAAATATCATTTCTGGCTACATTTTGTATTCAGATAAAATATCATTTCTGGCTAAATTTTGTATTCAGATAAAATATCATTTCTGGCTAAATTTTGTATTCAGATAAAATATCATTTCTGGCTAAATTTTGTATTCAGATAAAATATCATTTCTGGCTAAATTTTGTATTCAGATAAAATATCATTTCTGGCTAAATTTTGTATTCAGATAAAATATCATTTCTGGCTAAATTTTGTATTCAGATAAAATATCATTTCTGGCTAAATTTTGTATTCAGATAAAATATCATTTCTGGCTAAATTTTGTATTCAGATAAAATATCATTTCTGGCTAAATTTTGTATTCAGATAAAATATCATTTCTGGCTAAATTTTGTATTCAGATAAAATATCATTTCTGGCTAAATTTTGTATTCAGATAAAATATCATTTCTGGCTAAATTTTGTATTCAGATAAAATATCATTTCTGGCTAAATATTGTATTCAGATAAAATATCATTTCTGGCTAAATTTTGTATTCAGATAAAATATCATTTCTGGCTAAATTTTGTATTCAGATAAAATATCATTTCTGGCTAAATTTTGTATTCAGATAAAATATCATTTCTGGCTAAATTTTGTATTCAGATAAAATATCATTTCTGGCTAAATTTTGTATTCAGATAAAATATCATTTCTGGCTAAATTTTGTATTCAGATAAAATATCATTTCTGGCTAAATTTTGTATTCAGATAAAATATCATTTCTGGCTAAATTTTGTATTCAGATAAAATATCATTTCTGGCTAAATTTTGTATTCAGATATAATATCATTTCTGGCTAAATTTTGTATTCAGATAAAATATCATTTCTGGCTAAATTTTGTATTCAGATAAAATATCATTTCTGGCTAAATTTTGTATTCAGATAAAATATCATTTCTGACTAAATTTTGTATTCAGATAAAATATCATTTCTGACTAAATTTTAATTTCAGTTTAAAATGCCTGTTCTGAAAAATGTTAAGTTTAAGGTTCAGATTTCGGATTATTTAAATAGTTGTGCATTATCATATCTTTAAAGAAAATCATTTACTTTTAAATCTGAACATTTTCGCCTATGTTTTTCATGTTAACTTTTTAGCTTTTGTTTTTAATGATAGCATTTTAGCTTTTGTTTTTAATGTTAACATTTTAGCTTTTGTTTTTAATGTTAACATTTTAGCTTTTGTTTTTAATGTTAACATTTTAGCTTTTGTTTTTAATGTTAACATTTTAGCTTTTGTTTTTAATGTTAACATTTTAGCTTTTGTTTTTAATGTTAACATTTTAGCTTTTGTTTTTCATGTTAACATCTTAGCTTTTGTTTTTCATGTTAGCATTTTAGCTTTTGTTTTTAATGTTAACATTTTAGCTTTTGTTTTTCATGTTAGCATTTTAGCTTTTGTTTTTCATGTTAGCATTTTAGCTTTTGTTTTTAATGTTAACATTTTAGCTTTTGTTTTTCATGTTAGCATTTTAGCTTTTGTTTTTCATGTTAGCATTGCCTACTGGGATGGGAGAATACACGACCTGTGATGATGCCATCAGCCCAACCAATTGATATCCACTCTCAAGTCAAGTCAGTCTCCAAAAGTTCTGTAACAGTGAGTACATTTTGTATTCTAAAGAGATTGTTTTGGATTTTAAAAATATACATTATTATGTACATTTGTGCAGCTAACAAAACATTTTACTCTAGAAAATGTTAAGAACCGTTTTATTCCCCGGTTATTCCAGCTAGTAGCTTTATGTAGGCCCTAAGATTAGTCCATTTGTAAAATATTCATTAGGTTGCTTAAATAAGACGTCATTTGAAATAGGTTGCTTAAATAAGACGTCATTTGAAATTTAAAAAGTATGTATCTGTTAAATAAAATTCCCATTCAAGGCAGAAGCAGACTATAGTTTTTTTTACAAGCCACTACTTTGGCCAGTGTGAGTGCATTAGTCTGTGGCAAATCTTGTCTCTTAGTTTTGACCAAACTCAAATGCAGCCATTTTGTTCCAACATACCTGATGAATTGAAAAGATAAGCATATATAATTAGATATTTAATGAGAAATTTAAAAATTCATGTAAAGTTGACTTTATTTTATAACAAAAGGGGAGATAACAAAATGATAACAGAGGTGAGTTGTATTTACTGATGTTTTCATTCATGAGATTGAGAGCCAATCTCATAAGGGTCATCAATTTATGACATCATTTCCAAGGGCTGGCTGGCCACACTTCTGTGTATGTGATAATGTTGAATGCGTGTATGTGATAATGTTGAATGCGTGTATGTGATAATGTTGAATGCATGTATGTGATAATGTTGAATGCGTGTATGTGATAATGTTGAATGCATGTATGTGATAATGTTGAATGCGTGTATGTGATAATGTTGAATGCGTGTATGTGATAATGTTGAATGCGTGTATGTGATAATGTTGAATGCGTGTATGTGATAATGTTGAATGCGTGTATGTGATAATGTTGAATGCGTGTATGTGATAATGTTGAATGCGTGTATGTGATAATGTTGAATGCGTGTATGTGATAATGTTGAATGCGTGTATGTGATAATGTTGAATGCCTGTATGTGATAATGTTGAATGCGTGTATGTGATAATGTTGAATGCGTGTATGTGATAATGTTGAATGCGTGTATGTGATAATGTTGAATGCGTGTATGTGATAATGTTGAATGCCTGTATGTGATAATGTTGAATGCGTGTATGTGATAATGTTGAATGCGTGTATGTGATAATGTTGAATGCGTGTATGTGATAATGTTGAATGCGTGTATGTGATAATGTTGAATGCGTGTATGTGATAATGTTGAATGCGTGTATGTGATAATGTTGAATGCATGTATGTGATAATGTTGAATGCGTGTATGTGATAATGTTGAATGCGTGTATGTGATAATGTTGAATGCGTGTATGTGATAATGTTGAATGCCTGTATGTGATAATGTTGAATGCGTGTATGTGATAATGTTGAATGCGTGTATGTGATAATGTTGAATGCGTGTATGTGATAATGTTGAATGCCTGTATGTGATAATGTTGAATGCGTGTATGTGATAATGTTGAATGCGTGTATGTGATAATGTTGAATGCGTGTATGTGATAATGTTTAATGCGTGTATGTGATAATGTTTAATGCGTGTATGTGATAATGTTGAATGCGAGTATGTGATAATGTTGAATGCGTGTATGTGATAATGTTGAATGCGTGTATCATTATGTGCAGCTATCTTTTCGTTGCACTGTTAATAAAAAAAAAATTTCATAAAAAATGTTTTAATAACAAGCTTTTATGTAATAATGCACTAAAAAGTAGAAAATAAATTATACACTAATATTTAAATTACTATCAAGAAAAGAGTGGGTCTCTTCCTAATTTATAGTAATTTAAATAGTAGTATAATTTATTTTCTTTTTTTTTTTAATGCATTATGACATAAAAGCTTGTTATTAAAACGATTTTTATGAAATTTTTTTTTAGTACTTTACATGATTTATTTACACTTGAGTTGCATGACTAAAAACCATTGCACACCTATTGAACGTGATGACGCCCTATTGAATGTGATGACACATGTCTAATAGAGCAGAATAGTTTGATGAGACAGCCTATTAATTTGGACAAAATTTTAATTAATTCATAAAAAATTATCAGGCAACCAATTAAGTCAAATTTAATGTCATGTTGCATTGTCTTCACCCACGTACCAACTATGAACTGTATCTGTCAGTTAGAAGTGCCTGCACTTTCGCTCAGGCGTTTCGATCTAGACAGACTGATGACAGACTGACGAGGAAGTTAGTTAAATAAAAGCTTTTAAAAATAATCATAAACCTGACTGCAGCTACCATTTTCATTGCTCTGTTGTCAGAAGAAAAAACTTGATTAGAATTTAGAGCCATAGGATGGCTTGTGTTATGGCGGAGAGAGGTTAAGAGTTTGTTACATCAGTTGTTGTGGAGGGGCAGAGTGTGCTTGAGGATGATGATGTGGGGGAGGAAAATCACCCCAAGTATTAATAGGCCACACCCTTTCTACAATTTGTATGTGGTATTTTTCTGATTGGGATTGCACATTATTCAGAAAAATTGGTTGCAGCTGTAGTACAATATTATGGATGGTTGTTGTTACAGCGCAACATTATAGGGGGTAGAGTTGCTTTAGTGCTACATTATAGGTGGTTGTTTTTGTAGTGCTACATTATGGATTCTATTTGTAGTGCAACATTTTAGGGGGTAGAGTTGCTTTAGTGCTACATTAAAGGTGGTTGTTTTTGTAGTGAAACATTAAGCTGACTTTTATCCAATAGTTAACATGTCATCTGGTTCCTTAGGAGTGATAAAATAAATTTATAAAATCGACAAAACTGACTCTGTAGTTTATTTTTAACCTTTTTTTTATTTCTTCTTTAGCAGATGTTTGTTGTCATTTAAATCTGTTTTAATTTTAAAATGTTTTTAGAGACATTTTTGCATGTAGAGTTCAGCGCTAACCGTTTGCTATGATTTTGTTCCATCCTTTCTCAAAGTTGTTGAATGCTTTAAAAGAGTTCTTAATTTATTTTTACTTTCTCATATATGGAGTATAGAGGAAGTATTATAATCGTTAAAAAAAATTTGAAATTGAGATTTTCACACATTTCAACGTTTTAGACCTCCCTAATTTGGAAAAACTTAATTTTGTAATCTTGACTCTAGGTCTGTGTGCGTGTAAACATGATAACTTGAGTACCGTTACAGCTAAGTTGATGAAATTTCATATATAAATATTACATCAAATTTGTAGTTCTGTATCAACTTTTTAGCGGTTTCCGGAAGTAAAACTTATTACACTTTCGGTTTTTCCAAAGCCTATAACTTGAGTTCTGTCTCTGATAGATAGACGAAATTTCACAGAAGTAAAAAATCTAATTCTCTGTTTTCTGTCAAATTTTGAGTCATTTCCAATTTCTATAAAAAATGCATATTTATTTATAAAGTAATAATATTCCGCGCTATTGTAAGTGCATTGTTTGCTGTTCACTTGATTCGCAATACTTTTTTCTATGAGATTCTCTTTTAAACAGTTTAAGTAATTGAAAATTGATTAAAAATCATGTATATATCCTGAGTTGCCATCCCCGGTAGTGTTATATAAAAATATTCTAGAAAGTTTTCAGGGAGATCACTCTCGCTTTAAGTTGTTCACTCTACAAGTGTACATAAAAGTGTTTTAAACAATGATAGATCTACCACACACTCAAACTTGATTGAGTTGCTTGAAAATATTTGAATCAGAAAAGATTTTATTTTGCAGCAGACACTAGCAGAAGCTGAGGCAATGGCCAATAAAAAAGGGAGTTTACCATCCCTTTCAAGATGGAGACAGCAATACATGAACACAGCAGCCAACTTTCCTGCTAGAGACAGCCTATCCTCCTTGAAATGTGGAACAAAGTCTGGCCAACTAAAAACAGTGACTGATAAGCTGCTGGATTCAACATACCACATGATGTATGAGATGGAGAGAGAAAAAGGGGACAGAGCTAAATCAAGTGGGTAACATGGAAAATCAATGGCCAAATCATTGAAGACAACCCAGCTAATAAACATAGCTATGTCCATCTCAATCTTCTTCATGATCATGCTATAGTTGATTTTAGTCTCATCTTATCTCCATTTATGATGGGTTTTATTTTTATCTACAACCAAATGTTCAACTACATGATTGTACGTTTTATAGACTAAGCAGTCAACTGTTACACAAATAAAATGTAGCAATTTATCAGCCACTTTAATCCAACTAATTTGTTTCAAACTGGGAGCAAATCTTAAGCTAACAATATGTATGTCAAACGGCCCGGGTCGCCCAAATATAGTAGCTATCACTTCATAGGTTCGATAATAAAAAAGGGCTCATATAGTAATAAGCTTGGTATCAATAAAAAGTAGATTTTGAGCCCTCTAATTATGCGTAATTTTTGTAGTTGATATTACACAATATATCTCATTTACCAATTGAAAACTATCATCGAGATGATTTTTCAACGGCAGTCGAGTAACGGATTTTGACCCCTCTCATTCAACTTGATGGCCTTTTTTGACCGTTCAACATATTTCTTTACAAATACCTGTAAATGTGCAGAATTTGATAGCCGTTAGTGGGATATTAAACAAAAAAAACTCATAATAGACTAAATATTTTAAATGTAAAAATAAAAAAAAGAAATTTGAAAATTACCATGTGATTCTGACATCGTATAGATTTTTTTATCAGCATTTTCAAAAAGGTGGTCCTTTTTTCTTTAAAAACACTAAAATAGTTTCTTTTCTGAGCATGTTCAAAAAAGGCCGAGCTCGACAAAACACACTATAGCGATCACTAAAATAGCTCTAGGCCCAGTCGAAGAAAATGACTGTTTTCTTTGTTAACAACGCACCACCAAGCTTTTCTAAATTGATGTTAGCAAGTTTTAGAGGCTTGATTGTTCAGTATATTTTTATTATTAATGCTATAACTCCGTTCGATGATTAGACTTCCACGTAATTTTTCATCTTTGTCCGATGAACTAAACCCCACTTCAATTTGTATCGGAGTCTAATTTTTTTCTGATTGATTAGTTAAAAAAATTTTGTCTTTTCTGACAGAGGATACTTTAAAAAATAATAACAACATATTTTTCTCATCTTTTTAGAATAGCTGAATATTTTTTTCTTTTAAATGTAAAAGGTCACGTGATCGTACATTTAGTCGCCAGTGTAAACAATATATGGGTATAGTTTAAAGTAGTAAACCCTGCCAAGTTCAAGGTTGGTTTGGGTTTTAGCGATGATATTAAACTAAATACTACATGATGTGTAGCTTGAAATACTTGTTACATTACCAAAAGGAATCGATTTTTTAGTGTGTTCTTTATTTCAATTTTAACTAGATGTTATGTTAATGCCTCCGAGATCTTTACTACAGTGCTCGAGTGCAGATGTATTTACACTTTGCAGTCTGCTTGGAAATAAACCCTTATTAGATTCCTTTAAAATAATATAGCCCTTGTCTACGAAAAAAAACCTTGTAACGTCCTCTAAATTATGTGTTTATGGTGGCTATTTACAGGTTACAGTTGTGAAGAACAACTGTTAAGACACTAAGGGTGAGAATGCAAGACTAGCATGGTTCTATTTAGCCTACATAGTTGTATTTAAGAAGCAAGTATATTTTTGTGCAGCCGCAACATATCGCAATAATTGTTGAACCAGCTATGTATAAGTACATATTTATAACATAAAGATACATCGACTGAGGCATTCTAAATAGTTTAAATGTTCTTACTTTTAAATGTACTACTGGTTCTTGAGACTAATAATTATTTCAACAAAAATATTTTCTTTATGTGACCCTAGCACTGTTCCAGCCACCATTGGATCTCATATAAATTAATCACAGACACAAACACTGCTTACCTGTTAAGAGCTATGGTTATTCTTTATTTCAATGTACCCAGATCTACTGTAGGTGTCATAATTTTATTTTTTAACTTTTTAATAAAGACACATTTTTGACAGATTGTGAACCCCTGCACTCTTCTGATCAAACGTGTGTTTCAAACGTACTTGTTATAGGCATACATGTAACTTAAATTCAAAGAAGTGTTGTTCCCCTACATTTTGATATACTTATCAAGTATGTTCTTTCTTCAGACATTTTTTGGTGATGTTTTAAAAATGTACACAATTTTTGTTTTTTACTTCCCTTTTAATTTTTTCAAAAAGTGAGAAAAGCCAATTTTAATTCAATTAATTTAAATTATGTACTTATTTTTGAGGTTTGAAAAAAGTTGAGTCTGTTCTCTCTCTATGTGTGTTTGTGTTGAGATAAAAAGATTGTGTTTGTGACATACACTTTTAAAGATATAACCTCTCAAACATGGCACTTTTTAGGGAGTTGGAAAAAATGTTACAAACCAATTTTTTAAAACGTCATAACTTTTTTACTACTTGATATATGAATAAATTTAGTGCCCACTATCTTAGAATCGTGAGTTCTTGACATGGCAATTTTCAAAAAAGTTCTGGGACCGTTTTAAAAAATCAGTTTGACACCTCTACTAACAACATGACTATTTTCCTAGAAATCGTGACTTAAGATGTATGAGAATAATCTCCTCTTATCTAACACCATTTTTTATATTTTTTACATTACATTTGAACTTTGCGAACTTTCTCAAACTTCTCTTAGACTAAAGATGAATGAACAAGCATTAATCCTTTGCAACAAGCCGCAAAACTGGCTGCAAAATCAGGCATATATGTCCAAAAAGCGGGTTTTCTGGCCCAATGATCTAGCATCATAGTCCTAGTGGCTGGGTACCGTCTTATTAAATATAATTAGCGACGTACTGAATAAAACTGGGCATATGTCTTTTTAGTGTGGGATTATGATTCTAAACATAGATTTTAGGGTAAAGTTGAAAGTGAGTGTCTGCATTTCATAATATACATTGTCAACTAAAACCATCGGTTATTTTATGTTAATTTATTATTTTGGTTATAATTATTATTATAATATTAATAAAAGTAAATAAGTAAGTTACTCTAGCTTTGTCATTATGTTTAGTAAGTATATAAAACAATCATCAGTATATAAATATTTTATTAGTGCAAACTTTTGTTGTACAAATAATTTTTTTTTTAAGCAATGCCGCCAAAACGAAAAACTGAGCCACAGCCATAGATTTTGTTCATTTTATATACATTATGTTCATACATTGTAAAACAATAAAGAATTTCAGAATCTTGCTGAATTGTTTGTTTGATCCTGAGCCTGGATACCAAATTTGGCTTGATTATCTCAAACGGTTCAAAATAGGCAAAATTAGAAGCAGATAAGTGACAATTGGTTTGGCCCTGGGTGCTCAGGAAATGGGAGAAATTAGGCCAGGGCTCAAAGGGTTAAGATGAATGAACAAGCATTAATACAAAAATTTTAAACTCAAATAGCCACTTGGAAATATTTTTTATTCAAACATCTGTGCTGGTGCTGTATGCAAAAAGGGCTACAAGTTTTTTTATCCAATAATAGCTTTATAAATCATTTCATACCAGGTTTCTTACCAATAGCTTTATAAAGCATTTCATACCAGGTTTCTTACCAAATAATAGCTTTATAAATCATTTCATACCGGGTTTCTTACCAAATAATAGCTTTATAAAGCATTTCATACCAGGTTTCTTACCAAATAATAGTTTTATAAAGCATTTCATACCAGGTTTCTTACCAAATAATAGCTTTATAAAGCATTTCATACCAGGTTTCTTACCAAATAATAGCTTTATAAAGCATTTCATACCAGGTTTCTTACCAAATAATAGCTTTATAAAGCATTTCATACCAGGTTTCTTACCAAATAATAGCTTTATAAAGCATTTCATACCAGGTTTCTTACCAAATAATAGCTTTATAAAGCATTTCATACCAGGTTTCTTACCAATAGCTCTATAAAGCATTTCATACCAGGTTTCTTACCAATTAATAGTTTTATAAAGCATTTCATACCAGGTTTCTTACCAATTAATAGCTTTATAAAGCATTTCATACCAGGTTTCTTACCAATTAATAGCTTTATAAAGCATTTCATACCAGGTTTCTTACCAATTAATAGCTTTATAAAGCATTTCATACCAGGTTTTTTGTTCAACAATGTTACACCAGGTAACTCTAGTGGTAACTTAGTGGGTGACAACATTTATAAATGACCCAGATTCCACTAATTAAGATAAAAATATATTATTATTTACAATGTTTTTTTTTTAAAGGTGTGTATCCCCTTCTGACACTTTGGTCAATTTTTTTACACCGTTTGACCAAAAAAGTAAAAACAAATTTTAATAGTTTTGCACTATTTGTATTCGAGCAACTCTTTTCTACAATGTTCTACAAAGTATTTTTTATTGGTTTACATTTTCAATATTGAAATAGGAGCTCAAAAAACTGTTGACCTAAATTTGATAAGAATAACTGAACATTTTACAAAAAATTAAAATTTATTCTAAAATAAAGTGCTTCATTCTAATACTTAGTAAACAGATGCTGAGATTGCAGACTAGCATGTTATATTAGGTGTTACTCTTCTGTGGCACATACATTTTTGTACATGTCATAATTTGCATAATACTTGACAGATGAAATTTGGTATAAGATGTCAGGACACCAACTATATCATTTTCCATACATGGAATAATTTTTTTGGACAAAAATCCTGAGGTAGTGCCAGAAGGGGATACATTTGCTTTCTCAAGTGGCTGCAGTTTGAGCTCTTGCACCTAATTTGAGTGTAACCCTTCAAACACACATCATCTTTTCATCCTAAAGGAATGTCACAAGTTTTCAATCTAATTTGTATACATATTTTGTACAATAGAATGGAATTTTTTTGAGTAAATTTTATGAAAGCCATAATAAAAAGTATTTTTTTAAAAATTAGGCATATAATTTATGTATATAACTTGCACACAATATTTTGATTGCATGATGAATGTAAACTCTACCAAATTGTATACAATAAAATTAATATTGGCATAATATACAATGAAATACAGAGGTGAACTGAAATACTAATTTTTGTGGGAAAATTGATCACACAAGGAAAGAACTAAAAATCAAAATGTGTGTTTTGATTTATAGTGAGCAAATAACACTGAAGGCACATTGATAGAAACAGCCCATCTGCTAGTTTATGTGGGGGTAAAATTACTTTTTGATACACAAAATGTGCATGAACCCTAACAACAAAAGTAGTATACATTTTTAATTAAAAACAATTAAACTTCTTAATAAAAATACCAACAAATTTAAACAATATTGACAGTTGTCTAATATAAGTAAAAAGTAGTTGATGAGTAAAAAGTGATGTCAAGTATATTTCAACTCTCGACTGAAACACTACTGTAGATCTGAGTATTTCTAAAGTATGTCAGTCTTGGGTTAGAGGGCTGTGGATGTGACGGGGTGAAGACCATGGACAAAAACTGTTGGATGGGACCAGTTTGAGATGGCAGTTAACTGCTCCATGTAGATGGCATGCTGGTCTCCTTGTTGGGGTGGACGAGGTAAATACAAGAAACTGATGGCAGACTGGTTTAAGTGCTCCTGAAAATTTAAAAAAAAATGTTTTGTATGCAAAAATAGCAAAAAGAAATTTGTATTTATGAAAGTATAGGAAAAAGAAGACATCTATCTGTATGAAGGTGCAGTGGTACCTTGAAAAATGATTAATTAGTTCCATAACATTGCTCATAAGTCAAATTACTCATGTCAAAGCAAATTTCTCTATTGAAAATATTTCAAATGCCATCAATCCGTTCAAGCCCCTAAAATGCCACCCCAGTTGCTACTGATACATGATTTTTAAAAAAGAAAAGGGTATTTATACAAGACAAATATTGTTTAATAACAATAGTAAAGGATAATGAAAACTGATTTTATAAAGTGTATTTATCTTGAAAATCAGCCAAACTGATCTTACGGAAGATGCTGGAAGAATTAGGCCCAGTGTAGGATGAGGAGATGCACTTCATTCTCATTTCACTCTCAACGCTACGCATCATCCCTTTACTTAAACTAAATGTTACTATATTATGTTTGGTTATTTTCTCTTAATTTCCATCATTGGCATTTGCTTTTTTTTTTTGCCAGCTTTTCCACGCAGGCTGTTATGATAAAGCTGTTAAAATAAAGGGTTAGGGTTAGGGTTAAAATAAAGGTTTGTTTTTTCCTCCACTTCAGAATGTTTCAGAAATGAGTAAGGTAAGTGTCAACTTTTTGGGGTGTTTTGTTTCCACAAAGTGATAATCCCGCCTGTATCTAAACATAATTATTTTAAATTTGAGTTTGCTCAACAGCTTGTATCTAATAATATCGTGTATGTCAAGGTACCCTTGTATAGCAAAATGAAGACATTTGTATGTAAGTATAAAGACCTTCAACTGGCAGGGACATAGAAAAATGATTTCACCTGTAGCAAGCCATTAACAGCAGTGACATAGGAGTCAGGTACTTGCACATACTGATTCATCTTGACCTCCTCTTCTTGACTCTCTAATCCATGCACTTCCTCCTGCTCTACACCTGGTTGCAGATGCTGGTACATATCCTCAAAGGAAACAATCTGCACATGTTCACAAACATTAGCCTACATACCAACACGTCAATTACACTTTTTAAATTGAATTATAAAAGGCAGTAGAAGACTGGTTGAAGTGGGGGGGTCACCAGTAGACTTACCACAATTTTAGCCTGCATCCTGAGCTGTCTGAGGAAATGGGACAACTTTTGCTCTTTGACTGCTGTGTTCTCAGAGAGAGTCTGCACACACAGGAACACCCTAAGGGCCACGCGGTTTCTCCAGGTACTCTGCATGGTCAAGATACAAGCCAACTGGAGCATGAACAGACAGGTGTCATCAAATAAGTTGGCTGTGTCTGGGCGAAAGAAGTTGACAGGCCAGATGTCAATATAAGACTTAGGAGATGACTTTAAGATGTTGCTTTTATTCAGCAGCTGAAAATTTCGACAAAGAAAGACATTTTTCTGCAGTTTGAGTGAGTCCTGAATAAGGCTGACATAGTCGCTGACACTTAAATGTTTGCTGAGTGATGATCTTGGTGACTGGAAGTAAGATTCAAGATCTGCAAAACTTGCATTTTCAGTATGGCCAAAAAATCGTTTTTTTTTAGCTTTTGTTTTTAGAAAAGAGTCTGTTGGCAAGTTATCATCATAGAAACCAAAACACACGGTGTTGACTTTCATACCACCAAGTCCAGAAATTCTAACCAAGTGCTGAAAACCTTCTGGCACGCTTCTAGCCAGCGTCAGCTCTACAAAGGCTTTTATCTTCATATGCTCCACCAGCTGCAACCAGCGAGGCGTCTCCTCCAGGACTGGGTCGGCTGAGAAATCTTCCAGCTGTCCAGTTTTCACATGGCCAATGACATACAGTCCAGATTTTTTAATGTCGTTGCAAAAGTCCATCAACTCACTAGACTGTCTGGGATTTGATACCATCAACAAAATTTGTGGCCTCCAATACTTGACATGGGATTTTCTTGGGTCTAGCATCAGCAAATATTTGCGGACCTAAAATTGGTAAACAACAAAAGTTCTGAGATTAGTAGTTACAACATTTAAACTGTATCAGCTATTTTAGCACATCAAATAAAAAGGAACATTCTATTCGAAGATTGTAAGCCAGATATTTATTGTTTTCTGATAGGGTTTTGTAGTCTACCTAATTTCTATTTAAAGGTTTAGAGAAACGACTGGTTGTCATTCAGCAGTAATTGTGAATTTTTGTCCTTGATGACATTCTGGCACGCTAATATCATAGTTTTTACTTGTGTTTGAGATAAAGTGTTGTTGTTTTTTTCAAGGATTTTAATATTAACTTATGATTGCCAAAATAAAATGGAATTAGAAGCAGAGAGAGAAACAGTAGATTTGGGCAGGTTTAAATAGCTTTAGATACCACACATGCGAGATTCACAGTAAAGGAACCAGGCTTGGGAGATTAAGTTTCATTTGGAGAGCTGCGTTAATTTAGATCTATTTTCCGTTTATATATATATATATATATATATATATATATATATATATATATATATATATATATATATATATATATATATATATATATATATGTATATATAATTAATTGAAAATATAAGCGGAAAAATTTGGACTAAAAAAATGTGCGTTCTGAATAATTCAGAAATCAGCTGAAATTCTGAATTTTGGCCTGCGTGTATTCGATTGTCCATCTGACCTAACTACTGCAATACTGGATTTAAATTAAAATAGGAATATGTGAATGCATGTGTGGGCTGATTCTGTAGAAGTCATTTCCATTTTTACTTGAATTTTCAAAACTTCCTTAGAAAATAAAAAATTGGCGGAAAAATTACTACACAATCCTGGGTACAGCGCCTGAGGCTAGACACGCCCCCATCCCACACCTCCCCACTGCAGGATAGTGCTTGAAGATCCAATGAGACATAGATTATGTATGTTTATTCAACCGTGAATAACACATCCGTGTACATAGGGTCAAGCACTATGTTTCCGTACAGTGAATGCTTATCAGCTATTCCATCTTATATATACATTAGTTGCTAGCAAACCCTACATAGAGAGAAGGGCATACACATTAACACATGTGTCGTTTACATTCCAATGTAAAGTCTGATGAACGCGTTCAAGCCTATCATAGCATGCCATAACAAGATTATAAACCGGCCGTTGGTTGAATAGTGAGAAGGGGATGAAGGGGATGGACTTTGTACATTCTTCACACTGACAGACTTGTCCATGACGCATTGTTTCAGCTTCGTATAAAACGTACTAAACAGTGTTTAATAGTGTTCTAATGACAATCAACAGTACATTTCTTAGCAAAATTTCAATTATTAACCTAAATGTTGTTGTATTATTTTAAAACAACAAATAGAAGAGTATATGCAAATAAAGTAAACAAACGAAGACAGGCAATTGTTTTGTTTATCTAGAAACAAGATGGCTGCCTAGCACACATGGTTTATTTACTGTACTATAATATGTTTGGTCAAGCGTATCAATGCATCTCTTCCCTTTCATTATTTTTACGTGCATGTCCTTATATGGAATTTGACATCAAATTTTAATTTGTAGAAAACCATGTTTATCCCACTTATTTTTAGAACAAAAGAAAATGTCACTACACCAGTTTGTACATGAGTGCTTGGCAGATAGATTGCTGTAGAGTTTATGGTGCCCCGCGGGCAATAAATAATGTAATACCCGCTTGATGATAGCCACTGTAAGCGTAGTAGTGTGAAAATTTGCCGGTGGGTACTATGTTTTACATCGCAAAAAAAGGATAACCGTAGGCTGTATAAGTCCAAAATGTTCGGGTTAGAAAGATAATATGTATTAGTACCAAATTAAAAAATATAAATTTTGAACAGCAAAATTTTTTTTTGAAAACATGTGTATCTTGTATCTTTAAGCTGTATCAAATTCAAATGATGTTTTGTTCATTTGTGGCAAAGCTTGTAACTCAATTTTCATCCACTTTTAATCTAGCTATTTTGTTCAAACTTTTTCAGTGTATTTTATTATTATTATTTTGGTTTAGACCAAACCTATTTTATATCAATATGATACCAAAATTGTTCCATTTCAATTTCATTTAAATTTCCAAATACTTATATGGTATTCAGACATTTTTTCTAAATATCCTATCATCTGAGAATTATCTTTTTTGAAAGGGGGGATGAGTGTCCCCAGGAGAAATTACAATTAGATGGTGACACAACTAATAAAAGGAGCTGGTCCTTCAACTTCAGTACACTGAATCAGAAAATAATAATGAGTTGATCTCTGCTTCCTAATGAATCAGAAAATAATAATGAGTTGATCTCTGCTTCCTAATGAATCAGAAAATAATAATGAGTTGATCTCTGCTTCCTAATGAATCAGAAAATAATAATGAGTTGATCTCTGGTTCCTAATGAATCAGAAAATAATAATGAGTTGATCTCTACTTCCTAATGAATCAGAAAATAATAGTGAGTTGATCTCTGCTTCCTAATGAATCAGAAAATAATAATGAGTTGATCTCTGCTTCCTAATGAATCAGAAAATAATAATGAGTTGATCTCTGGTTCCTAATGAATCAGAAAATAATAATGAGTTGATCTCTGCTTCCTAATGAATCAGAAAATAATAATGAGTTGATCTCTGCTTCCTAATGAATCAGAAAATAATAATGAGTTGATCTCTGCTTCCTAATGAAGTGCTCTAAGCTTCCAGTCTACCGGAATTTCAAAAAGGGAGCAGGACAAGTCGGCACCTTTTGCTGTGTATGGTACAGTCTAAAGAAGGTCTATAGTGCTCCTATAAAAAATACAGTCTAAAACCATACTCAAAATATATTTTTGTGTTGTGTTTGTGTGACAATTACAATAATTATTGTTATAATGATTGCCATGTTACTAGTTATTAAATTTTAGTTTATTCCAGTTTTTTTTTTTTTTTTTTGGAAAAAATGTCCTACATCCCTGACAGTACTTATAAGTACCAATATATTTTTGGGCCATTAAAAATTTACTAAACTAAATTTCCTTCGACATATGCTTTAAGTGTGCCAAAAGCAATATAATACATTATTTAAGAAAAAGTTTCATTCAGAACTTAATTCTGTAAATTAAAGGGTCAAAACAAACTTAGGCATTAAGAGTTAAAACAAATGCCATAGTGCTCACTGGTGAGCCTGGGCAACAAATTGTCCCCTGTCGGTGCGCCGGATGGTGCGCCGGATTTGATATAATCAACTAATATTGTTGTCCACTGTGTCTTTAAAGCTATTCAAAGAAATTCCCTGCTATTTTTCAAATAAATTTCAATGCGCATAACCATTGAACATGAACTTGCCAAATTAAATTTATTCAAACCACAAATAAGCAGCCACTCATTTTTTAAAGTGAATCAAGTCCTAAAATTCAACCCCAAAACTTTAATTTTTAAACCCTGAAACTTGATGTCACATCAGAAATTTAAAAAAGCAAGATTTGAAGATACTAACTTACTTTTTAAGACATTTGCTCGATATGTTATTTTATACATTCCTTTAGTAATTTTAACTTTTAACAGTCTTTAAACAAAATAGAATATTTAAAGGATTGTGCATATAACAAAAATAGTTTAAAATAGTAGACGCATCTTGATCCCATAATGTAATATTACATTTCTAGAACCTTCCGCAATACAAAACAGCTGTTTATGTTAATACAATTAATATGAATATAGTGAGTTGAGATGTCACACTTTGAAACCTAATCTAAAAAGTTGTAGAAATGTGCATTGCCGTTTGTAATATATCTAAGTAGGCCTATTTAATTTTAGCACTTCCTATATTGAGTTCAATATAGTGTGTAGTCAGCCAAAAGTGTGTAGTTATTCACTAAACCAATAAACTGTAAGCAGCAAATATTTTGCTTAAATCAAGATGTTTGAAAAATCACCTAAATGCTATTATTGTACTAATTAATACATTGATTCATTAATATATCTCATATCAAATAAATAAAAAGTTTATATTATTTCAAATAAATTGTATTTCAAAAAAAATATTTGAAAAAAAAAACACACAAAAAAAACCATCTGAGCCAAGCAGACCAATAATCCTGATAATAGTAAGCACATTAATAATATATTTGCTTTTCAAATAGTCTTAGACTGCTATTAAAAAATTGACGGTGTGGCAACCCCACTACCCCTCAATTAGACACCTCTAGACTACACAGCGAGTTCAAATAAGCCTAAAACAAAAACCACGTGTAGCCTAAACTAAATGTTATAAGTCTTAATACTTAAAGCGATTTCTAGAATCATATGTCAAGAGTCTTGTTTTGTTTTATAACTTCAAACCCGGCCAAAAGTGGCATCGCAGAAAAAAAAAGGATATTGTAGAAATGATCACAAAGTGTGAGTGATAAGAGTTTGCTCCAATAACATGAGACTAGTTTTGTGCGCCCTCTAAACCACGAGAGCTTGCGAGACTACATTAGGCTAGGTTCATGTTAGCCCAAATCTTGCGATATTTGGGGGATGAAAAAAAATTCTTGGCAATTATTCGTCTAATTTCTCGGCCAGGAAATTTTATCTTAAAATTCCAGTTTTCTCCCCAATTTTCCGGCTCTGTAGGAACCCTGAATATAGTAGGAAGCCTAATTAATGAATATCAAGTGCTAAGATAACCACTCTGAGCGCCAAACTTTGTATTGACAAAAATTAACCCTTCTTTCCCATTAGTAAATTTTTTTCCCGCAGAAACTTCTCAGGCGTATTCTCCCCAGTTTCATGGCACTCGGATGAACTGAGTCGAACCGCATCCGACTCTTATTTAATTTTATTTTATATAAAGAGAAAAATCACACCCTCCCAGCATGCCACCCTTGCAAAATTAAAAATTTTCTGCAGAAGCCTCCCCTTCGCAACAACTTTCTAAAGTTTGATGCCGATCTGAAGAAAGGTGTAGTAAAGCATAAAAGACAAATACACAGACATACTTTCAATTTATATATATATATATATATATATAGAAGATTACTAAATTTAATAACAGAACAGCGAGTTGATAATGAGATAAGCACTAGCGAGTTGATAATGAGATAAGCACTAGCGAGTTGATAATGAGATAAGTACTAGCGAGTTGATAATGAGATAAGTACTAGCGAGTTGATAATGAGATAAGTACTAGCGAGTTGATAATGAGATAAGTACTAGCAGATGGGGATGAACTGTTGGTTGTGGCTGGCTTTTTTTATGTATTCCTGAGACAACACATCAAATGGCCAGGAAACTAGGGTTAGACAAGACCATTCATAGGGATAGACAAGACCATTCATAGGGATAGACAAGACCATTCATAGGGTTAGACAACACCATTCATAGGGTTAGACAAGACCATTCATAGGGATAGACAAGACCATTCATAGGGTTAGACAAGACCATTCATAGGGTTAGACAAGACCATTCATAGGGTTAGACAAGACCATTCATAGGGTTAGACAAGACCATTCATAGGGTTAGACAAGACCATTCATAGGGTTAGACAAGACCATTCATAGGGTTAGACAAGACCATTCATAGGGATAGACAAGACCATTCATAGGGATAGACAAGACCATTCATAGGGTTAGACAACACCATTCATAGGGTTAGACAAGACCATTCATAGGGTTAGACAAGACCATTCATAGGGTTAGACAAGACCATTCATAGGGTTAGACAAGACCATTCATAGGGATAGACAAGACCATTCATAGGGTTAGACAAGACCATTCATAGGGTTAGACAAGACCATTCATAGGGATAGACAAGACCATTCATAGGGATAGACAAGACCATTCATAGGGATAGACAAGACCATTCATAGGGTTAGACAAGACCATTCATAGGGTTAGACAAGACCATTCATAGGGTTAGACAAGACCATTCATAGGGTTAGACAAGACCATTCATAGGGTTAGACAAGACCATTCATAGGGTTAGAAAAGACCATTCATAGGGATAGACAAGACCATTCATAGGGTTAGACAAGACCATTCATAGGGTTAGACAAGACCATTCATAGGGTTAGACAAGACCATTCATAGGGTTAGACAAGACCATTCATAGGGTTAGACAAGACCATTCATAGGGTTAGACAAGACCATTCATAGGGTTAGACAAGACCATTCATAGGGTTAGACAAGACCATTCATAGGGTTAGACAAGACCATTCATAGGGTTAGACAAGACCATTCATAGGGTTAGACAAGACCATTCATAGGGTTAGACAAGACCATTCATAGGGTTAGACAAGACAAGACCATTCATAGGGATAGACAAGACCATTCATAGGGTTAGACAAGACCATTCATAGGGTTAGACAAGACAAGACCATTCATAGGGTTAGACAAGACCATTCATAGGGTTAGACAAGACCATTCATAGGGTTAGACAAGACCATTCATAGGGTTAGACAAGACAAGACCATTCATAGGGATAGACAAGACCATTCATAGGGTTAGACAAGACCATTCATAGGGTTAGACAAGACAAGACCATTCATAGGGTTAGACAAGACCATTCATAGGGTTAGACAAGACCATTCATAGGGTTAGACAACACCATTCATAGGGTTAGACAAGACCATTCATAGGGTTAGACAAGACAAGACCATTCATAGGGTTAGACAAGACCATTCATAGGGTTAGACAAGACAAGACCATTCATAGGGTTAGACAACACCATTCATAGGGTTAGACAAGACCATTCATAGGGTTAGACAAGACAAGACCATTCATAGGGTTAGACAACACCATTCATAGGGTTAGACAAGACCATTCATAGGGTTAGACAAGACAAGACCATTCATAGGGTTAGACAAGACAAGACCATTCATAGGGTTAGACAAGACCATTCATAGGGTTAGACAAGACCATTCATAGGGTTAGACAAGACCATTCATAGGGTTAGACAAGACAAGACCATTCATAGGGTTAGACAAGACCATTCATAGGGTTAGAGTTCGTAGGGTTAGAGTTCGTAGGGTTAGAGTTGGTAGGGTTAGAGTTGGACTTACCTGATGGAAGATAAGAGCCTGACTGATAGAACCCCAGGTTGTTGGCAGTGAGCGAAAGTGTAGGATGATGGCCAATATGAGCATAATGACCAGAGATATACTGGTATAGATGGGGGATATCATAAAACACATGATCATGCAGCCAATGATGCCCAGGGTACAAGTGTGCCAAGAGAAGTACATAAAGGTTGGCCTGTGGATTAGATGTACATAAAGGTTGGCCTGTGGATTAGATGTACATAAAGGTTGGCCTGTGGATTAGATGTACATAAAGGTTGGCCTGTAGCAGAAGAATACAGATTGCTCTTATATTAAAACAACACTAAAATTGTTTTTGATTTTAATTAATTGCACGCTTACATTGTTTACACAGCTAGTCCTGTTTATTTGATTGACATTAAAACTGGAAGCACATCTTTATTAAACATATTTGTGCATGGCAAATTACAACTATATATCAGTACCAGCATAGAAATTTCACAAATCAGTTATTTTGTTTAGATAATTTCAACAAATCATTAACAACTATTAGAAAAATTGTTAAGCTATGTTAAGCTTAATGTCAAATGTAATGTTTACTTAAGTTGAAAAGCCTACCTAAAGTTGGGTGCTGAGGCTAGTTCCAGAGCCAAACATGACAAATTGACTGAAGCATACGCTAGCAAAAAGAAAACTGAATTGATGGGAGCTATGGCATTGAGGGAACCAATCAAAAGAACAATCTGAAAAATAGAAGCGCCAATAGGTTATAAAACAAAAACTCCTCTTACAGCCAATATTATAGACCAACCAGTGATATAAACATAATCAGACCCAAATCAATTAGTTGCCAAATTACAGTCATCTAATTTTAATCACCAAATTCCAGTTGGTGTAGTCTTTTGAATCTTACACTATATTATAATTAAAAAAACCCTATCATCTAGGGTTAGGGTTAGGGTTAGGGTTAGGGTTAGGGTTAGTCTTTTGAATCTTACACTATATTATAATTAAAAAAACCCTATCATCTAGGGTTAGGGTTAGGGTTAGGGTTAGTCTTTTGAATCTTACACTATATTATAATTAAAAAAACCCTATCATCTAGGGTTAGGGTTAGGGTTAGTCTTTTGAATCTTACACTATATTATAATTAAAAAAACCTATCATCTAGGGTTAGGGTTAGTCTTTTGAATCTTACACTATATTATAATTAAAAAAACCCTATCATCTAGGGTTAGGGTTAGTCTTTTGAATCTTACACTATATTATAATTAAAAAAACCTATCATCTAGGGTTAGGGTTAGTCTTTTGAATCTTACACTATATTATAATTAAAAAAACCCTATCATCTAGGGTTAGGGTTAGGGTTAGTCTTTTGAATCTTACACTATATTATAATTAAAAAAACCTATCATCTAGGGTTAGGGTTAGTCTTTTGAATCTTACACTATATTATAATTAAAAAAACCCTATCATCTAGGGTTAGGGTTAGGGTTAGTCTTTTGAATCTTACACTATATTATAATTAAAAAAACCTATCATCTAGGGTTAGGGTTAGTCTTTTGAATCTTACACTATATTATAATTAAAAAAACCCTATCATCTAGGGTTAGGGTTAGGGTTAGGGTTAGGGTTAGGGTTAGTCTTTTGAATCTTACACTATATTATAATTAAAAAAACCCTATCATCTAGGGTTAGGGTTAGGGTTAGGGTTAGTCTTTTGAATCTTACACTATATTATAATTAAAAAAACCCTATCATCTAGGGTTAGGGTTAGGGTTAGGGTTAGGGTTAGTCTTTTGAATCTTACACTATATTATAATTAAAAAAACCCTATCATCTAGGGTTAGGGTTAGGGTTAGGGTTAGTCTTTTGAATCTTACACTATATTATAATTAAAAAAACCCTATCATCTAGGGTTAGGGTTAGGGTTAGGGTTAGTCTTTTGAATCTTACACTATATTATAATTAAAAAAACCCTATCATCTAGGGTTAGGGTTAGGGTTAGGGTTAGGGTTAGTCTTTTGAATCTTACACTATATTATAATTAAAAAAACCCTATCATCTAGGGTTAGGGTTAGGGTTAGGGTTAGTCTTTTGAATCTTACACTATATTATAATTAAAAAAACCCTATCATCTAGGGTTAGGGTTAGGGTTAGGGTTAGGGTTAGGGTTAGGGTTAGTCTTTTGAATCTTACACTATATTATAATTAAAAAAACCCTATCATCTAGGGTTAGGGTTAGGGTTAGGGTTAGGGTTAGTCTTTTGAATCTTACACTATATTATAATTAAAAAAACCCTATCATCTAGGGTTAGGGTTAGGGTTAGGGTTAGGGTTAGTCTTTTGAATCTTACACTATATTATAATTAAAAAAACCCTATCATCTAGGGTTAGGGTTAGGGTTAGTCTTTTGAATCTTACACTATATTATAATTAAAAAAACCCTATCATCTAGGGTTAGGGTTAGGGTTAGGGTTAGGGTTAGTCTTTTGAATCTTACACTATATTATAATTAAAAAAACCCTATCATCTAGGGTTAGGGTTAGGGTTAGGGTTAGGGTTAGTCTTTTGAATCTTACACTATATTATAATTAAAAAAACCCTATCATCTAGGGTTAGGGTTAGGGTTAGGGTTAGTCTTTTGAATCTTACACTATATTATAATTAAAAAAACCCTATCATCTAGGGTTAGGGTTAGGGTTAGTCTTTTGAATCTTACACTATATTATAATTAAAAAAACCTATCATCTAGGGTTAGGGTTAGTCTTTTGAATCTTACACTATATTATAATTAAAAAAACCCTATCATCTAGGGTTAGGGTTAGTCTTTTGAATCTTACACTATATTATAATTAAAAAAACCTATCATCTAGGGTTAGGGTTAGTCTTTTGAATCTTACACTATATTATAATTAAAAAAACCCTATCATCTAGGGTTAGGGTTAGGGTTAGTCTTTTGAATCTTACACTATATTATAATTAAAAAAACCTATCATCTAGGGTTAGGGTTAGTCTTTTGAATCTTACACTATATTATAATTAAAAAAACCCTATCATCTAGGGTTAGGGTTAGGGTTAGTCTTTTGAATCTTACACTATATTATAATTAAAAAAACCTATCATCTAGGGTTAGGGTTAGTCTTTTGAATCTTACACTATATTATAATTAAAAAAACCCTATCATCTAGGGTTAGGGTTAGGGTTAGGGTTAGGGTTAGTCTTTTGAATCTTACACTATATTATAATTAAAAAAACCCTATCATCTAGGGTTAGGGTTAGGGTTAGGGTTAGTCTTTTGAATCTTACACTATATTATAATTAAAAAAACCCTATCATCTAGGGTTAGGGTTAGGGTTAGGGTTAGTCTTTTGAATCTTACACTATATTATAATTAAAAAAACCCTATCATCTAGGGTTAGGGTTAGGGTTAGGGTTAGTCTTTTGAATCTTACACTATATTATAATTAAAAAAACCCTATCATCTAGGGTTAGGGTTAGGGTTAGGGTTAGGGTTAGGGTTAGTCTTTTGAATCTTACACTATATTATAATTAAAAAAACCCTATCATCTAGGGTTAGGGTTAGGGTTAGGGTTAGGGTTAGGGTTAGTCTTTTGAATCTTACACTATATTATAATTAAAAAAACCCTATCATCTAGGGTTAGGGTTAGGGTTAGGGTTAGTCTTTTGAATCTTACACTATATTATAATTAAAAAAACCCTATCATCTAGGGTTAGGGTTAGGGTTAGGGTTAGTCTTTTGAATCTTACACTATATTATAATAAAAAAAACCCTATCATCTAGGGTTAGGGTTAGGGTTAGTCTTTTGAATCTTACACTATATTATAATAAAAAAACCCTATCATCTAGGGTTAGGGTTAGTCTTTTGAATCTTACACTATATTATAATTAAAAAAACCCTATCATCTAGGGTTAGGGTTAGGGTTAGTCTTTTGAATCTTACACTATATTATAATAAAAAAACCCTATCATCTAGGGTTAGGGTTAGTCTTTTGAATCTTACACTATATTATAATTAAAAAAACCCTATCATCTAGGGTTAGGGTTAGGGTTAGTCTTTTGAATCTTACACTATATTATAATTAAAAAAACCCTATCATCTAGGGTTAGGGTTAGTCTTTTGAATCTTACACTATATTATAATAAAAAAACCCTATCATCTAGGGTTAGGGTTAGTCTTTTGAATCTTACACTATATTATAATTAAAAAAACCCTATCATCTAGGGTTAGGGTTAGGGTTAGGGTTAGGGTTAGGGTTAGGGTTAGGGTTAGTCTTTTGAATCTTACACTATATTATAAATAAAAAAACCCTATCATCTAGGGTTAGGGTTAGGGTTAGGGTTAGTCTTTTGAATCTTACACTATATTATAAATAAAAAAACCCTATCATCTAGGGTTAGGGTTAGTCTTTTGAATCTTACACTATATTATAATTAAAAAAACCCTATCATCTAGGGTTAGGGTTAGGGTTAGGGTTAGGGTTAGGGTTAGGGTTAGGGTTAGTCTTTTGAATCTTACACTATATTATAAATAAAAAAACCCTATCATCTAGGGTTAGGGTTAGGGTTAGGGTTAGTCTTTTGAATCTTACACTATATTATAAATAAAAAAACCCTATCATCTAGGGTTAGGGTTAGGGTTAGGGTTAGTCTTTTGAATCTTACACTATATTATAATTAAAAAAACCCTATCATCTAGGGTTAGGGTTAGGGTTAGGGTTAGTCTTTTGAATCTTACACTATATTATAATAAAAAAAACCCTATCATCTAGGGTTAGGGTTAGGGTTAGTCTTTTGAATCTTACACTATATTATAAATAAAAAAACCCTATCATCTAGGGTTAGGGTTAGGGTTAGGGTTAGTCTTTTGAATCTTACACTATATTATAAATAAAAAAACCCTATCATCTAGGGTTAGGGTTAGGGTTAGGGTTAGTCTTTTGAATCTTACACTATATTATAATTAAAAAAACCCTATCATCTAGGGTTAGGGTTAGGGTTAGGGTTAGTCTTTTGAATCTTACACTATATTATAATAAAAAAAACCCTATCATCTAGGGTTAGGGTTAGGGTTAGGGTTAGTCTTTTGAATCTTACACTATATTATAATAAAAAAAACCCTATCATCTAGGGTTAGGGTTAGGGTTAGTCTTTTGAATCTTACACTATATTATAATAAAAAAACCCTATCATCTAGGGTTAGGGTTAGGGTTAGTCTTTTGAATCTTACACTATATTATAATTAAAAAAACCCTATCATCTAGGGTTAGGGTTAGGGTTAGTCTTTTGAATCTTACACTATATTATAATTAAAAAAACCCTATCATCTAGGGTTAGGGTTAGGGTTAGTCTTTTGAATCTTACACTATATTATAATTAAAAAAACCCTATCATCTAGGGTTAGGGTTAGTCTTTTGAATCTTACACTATATTATAATTAAAAAAACCCTATCATCTAGGGTTAGGGTTAGGGTTAGGGTTAGTCTTTTGAATCTTACACTATATTATAATTAAAAAAACCCTATCATCTAGGGTTAGGGTTAGGGTTAGGGTTAGTCTTTTGAATCTTACACTATATTATAATTAAAAAAACCCTATCATCTAGGGTTAGGGTTAGGGTTAGTCTTTTGAATCTTACACTATATTATAATTAAAAAAACCCTATCATCTAGGGTTAGGGTTAGGGTTAGTCTTTTGAATCTTACACTATATTATAATTAAAAAAACCCTATCATCTAGGGTTAGGGTTAGGGTTAGGGTTAGTCTTTTGAATCTTACACTATATTATAATTAAAAAAACCCTATCATCTAGGGTTAGGGTTAGGGTTAGGGTTAGTCTTTTGAATCTTACACTATATTATAATTAAAAAAACCCTATCATCTAGGGTTAGGGTTAGGGTTAGGGTTAGTCTTTTGAATCTTACACTATATTATAAATAAAAAAACCCTATCATCTAGGGTTAGGGTTAGGGTTAGGGTTAGGGTTAGGGTTAGTCTTTTGAATCTTACACTATATTATAATTAAAAAAACCCTATCATCTATGTCAACCATGCCTCTGAGTGTGTTTTTTTATCAACTAAAATTCAACTGATTCAAATGATATATTTCAAGAGTTGAAACAGCCTGGATATGTCAAAAACATTGTAGGCCTCACTTTCAGCTGGTTTGTGGATTGTTAAAAGTGTCCACTAAGTTCAGGAAATTGAATGAGAACTATGGGGCAGCGTGGTTGAAACGACCACTAACCCAATAGTCTCAAGATCCCAGGCTTAAGTCCCTTAAGGTCCCAGAATCCTCCCTGTTCTGATGGGTACCTGGGTCAGGTTAGGGAAAGTAAAGGCAGGTAGGCATAATGGTGGCCGCCCTATCCTTTTATATGTTAAATTCACAGAAACAGATGAACTCTACTTCATCTGCCCCATGAACAGATAAGTTTACTTTTCTTAATAATGAAAACAGTTGTCTTGGCAGAGTTTGGATATAAAATTTTCCTTCAAATCAATTCTCCTTTTTTAAGCAAAATAACTGAGCGAACAGATTGTGAAAAAAAGTTTTCAGAGTTTGTTCGAAAAAAAAAAAGTGGACAATTTTCCTCTAATTAATTTCCATAAAAAGCAGAAACCTTACATCTCTGATTATAAAATGGTGACAATTTGTATGTGACTATATAAGATGAGAATTATTACTTAGCCAAAAAACTGACCTGAACAAGAAACCAAGTAATGAAGACACTAACAAGTGGGTTGCCACTCCTCGTAGTGATGGTCGCAGGTTTCAAGAAAAACCCTACAAAAATATGTGGGTGGGAGGATTGGATTTTGTGGTGGACTGAACAGACTTAAAGTGTATAAAGAAAGAATGCTGTAGTTGAGCTAAGACTTAAAGTGTATAAAGAAAGAATGCTGTGGTTGAGCTAAGACTTAAAGTGTATAAAGAAAGAATGCTTTGGTTGAGCTAAGACTTAAAGTGTATAAAGAAAGAATGCTGTGGTTGAGCTAAGACTTAAAGTGTATAAAGAAAGAATGCTGTAGAGCCTAAAAAAATGCTTACAAAAGAGTTGGTCATTTCCTAAAGCTTGTAAAATCCTGGAGCCACCAATAAGGTTTCCAAGAGCAGCTGACAGGGTGGATGCAAAGATTCCAATGACAACCAGAGGACCCCATAAATTAACTCCTTGTAGGAAAACATAATCGTTTATCAGCAGGAACCTACAACAAAAAAAGTTTATCAGCAGGAACCTACAACAAAAAAAGTTTATCAGCAGGAACCTACAACAAAAAAAGTTTATCAGCAGGAACCTACAACAAAAAAAGTTTATCAGCAGGAACCTACAACAAAAAAAGTTTATCAGCAGGAACCTACAACAAAAAAAGTTTATCAGCAGGAACCTACAACAAAAAAAGTTTATCAGCAGGAACCTACAACAAAAAAAGTTTATCAGCAGGAACCTACAACAAAAAAAGTTTATCAGCAGGAACCTACAACAAAAAAAGTTTATCAGCAGGAACCTACAACAAAAAAAGTTTATCAGCAGGAACCTACAACAAAAAAAGTTTATCAGCAGGAACCTACAACAAAAAAAGTTTATCAGCAGGAACCAACAACAAAAAAAGTTCATCAGCAGGAAAAAAAGTTTATCAGCAGGAACCTACAACAAAAAAAGTTTATCAGCAGGAACCTACAACAAAAAAAGTTTATCAGCAGGAACCTACAACAAAAAAAGTTTATCAGCAGGAACCTACAACAAAAAAAGTTTATCAGCAGGAACCTACAACAAAAAAAGTTTATCAGCAG